AACACAATATTCCCTTTAAAATCCAATTGTCCAATTAAAAATCTGAACAGCGAGCAAACATCATTCATTCAAAACATCAATTTGAAATGCCAATTGCAAATGCCTTAGTTGCATTCACGAATAACAAAACCTTTTAAAAAAACATTCCTTAAGTGGACTACAAAAGAAATTCGAATCAAACCGAATGAAAACTCACTGTAGATGGCGCTGTCACTGACCAAAACTATCGGATATTTAGACGCTCGATAAGCTGGCATCATGTTGTTGATTTTTGGATTCAACCCTACGTGTTCGCCACCTAAAACCAGAAAATAATATAATCAGCTGAATTCCAAAACACAACCACAAAATTTCAACCTAAATTTCGCTCAGCTCTTTGAAATTCCCACTCAAAATCTATCCTAAAAATAAATTCTTACCGTTTATGTAAGAAATTCTTTTCATCGAAGTAAACTTAACTATTGTTCTAAACGCATCCAGATGACCTTCTCTCTCTCAAAAAAAAAAACGAAACAAAGCAATCAAAAACAACTCACCACAAAATATCCGTGCATCAATCTGCGGGTACTTACTCATGAGCACTTCGACAACTTTCTGCGCTGGATCACTCGAGTCATGAACGCAGAATAACAGCTCATACTGAAATACTCTTTAAATATTTCCAGCAAAACAATATTTCCATAATGTCAAACATGAAATTCATCACACAAATCACCTAAGTAATATAAGAAAACAATATAATTAAGAATTTCCTGGAACAAAATTTGCTTATTGTTAGCATTTATTAACGTTATATCCTTAAAACTATATGTGATTATTGTTGACGAATATCTTAAGATATCCTTTATTATCGTTATTCGTAAAAACATTAAAAAATAAATAAATAAATAAATAAATAAATAAAATAAATGAATAAATAAATAAGAAAAATAAATAAATAAATCCTAAAAACCAAAATCCTACCGTCGGATATTTCATTCGGAAGAAACTCTCGAGGTTGAAGAACAAGTTCTCATCAGTCCCTACCAACGGCTTAATGATCGACACACCAGCCACATCACGTCTCGGAACTATTGGTCGATAAAGACGGTACTTACTGAAAGCAAAAACTCTTCAAAAGTTTCCACTCTACTCTGTGGCCCGAACAAACCTCAAAGGTCCAGCAGCATCCACTGGATCGCTTCTTAACTCTTGTCTAACAGTCCCTCATCTAATAGCCCAACACACCCCTTACTGCACAATTCCATCAAACGATAACTACATATAGATAAAACTGGACACAAAAAAGAATAAAATTGAGAAAAAAGCGAATGAAATGTCGAGAGCAAAACGAACGCGTAACAAATGG